TATATATATATATAGCATGGGTTTGATAAAAGTTGAATTACGGTGTACATTGAATGGTTTCATATATATATATACTTTTTTTTTAATAAACCAAGCAAAATTGAAACTGTACTTGACAATAATAGGGGCATTTCAAAACTTTAAAGACACAAATAACTGGAAAAAAGTGTAACTGATTGCATTCAAAATCAAAAATCTGAATGGGCATTATGTTTTTGCACAAAAGAAGCCTCATTTTATTTATTTTACTGAAATCTCTTCTAATGTAATGATTCAGGAAAGCATGAATGAACTCTCATGGACTATGAATTTTCATGTGTCTCTCTTTACTGCAGGACACACCAATGGTGGAATCTGGTACACAAACCATTCTAACAAACATCAGGTGATGCCTCCGATCAAGCTTAAAGTCAACATCAAGCCAAAACTTCACCTATTTACTTCCTTAATACACATTCTTGATCTTGTATTAAATGATTCATCAGTACCGACTATTTCAAAGAAAAATTGTCTTCATAATCTTTCGGCAAGATGAAAACCAAAACCAAATCACTTTTTTTCTCATGTTAAATGTCTCATAATGGAAGTAAAATGGGTTGTGAGCACCTTTCATGTTGAATTGAACATTTTAATACATTTCATAAGCATGAATATTTGTCAAGACTCCAGATCTAATACAAATCTTTGGTTTTTCAGATGCCCGATGGTTTTTTTGATGATGCTCACAGGAAGCACAGACACATGACCATCGTCTAGAGACTAAATGCTAGACTTCACAGACAGAAGGTGTTCTGGTTCTCTTCTTCACTCTTGTACATAAAATCATAATTTTAGGTTTTATTACAGAAGAAAGAGAGCCTGCATGATGGACTTCATATCAGCACTTATGGTGATCTGTTTCACCTCCACTGGATTATTTATTTGAACACAGAAGCATTTTCTTGGTGGTCTCAGACTTTTGTGCCCCACTGAATACTGTAGATAATCACCAAGAGTGTGTTTTTGGGCTTTAACAGATGAACGTGGTCAAAATGAGGGCGGTCGAGGGGTTGGTAAAGACTTTGGTTTGCTAAACAAACCAATGTGACAGAAGTGTTGATTCATTTTTCAATCTTTGCTGGTGCATTATGCATTCATCAGATGCTTGCATTTCCATAGCAGATTTGTTTGAATCAACATCTTCTTTTGCTTCCTGTTTTTGTAGCTGCTTACAATTAAACCAAAGATTTTTCTTGAGAAGCGTTTAGATGTGACACGTCATGCTTCATGTGCTTAATAAAAAACCACTGATCTCACAGGGGAAAACTGCTTAAAATTGTCATGAAATGGACTAGAACTATGTGATGCTTATTAATACATCAATTAATCAATAATATCACATTTACAAAGACCTTTTGTGTAGTTTTCACTTATCTGTGTTTCACACATTTTAACAGCTCTAAAATCCATTAAATGGATTACAAGCATTTTGAACAAATGTTTTTTTTTATAAACCTAGGTGTAATTAATGAATAAAAAAATGTATTGTTTAACTGTTTTTTTTTGCATCTTTATAGAATGTTTTACGAAATTATTTGCATCTTTTTTTCTTGTTTTAAGCACAAACCTCACTTTTTATGCTTTAAACAAGAAAAATATTAAGCAATGTATTATAATACATTTTTAATTAATTCAACATATATTTTATTTTGCTACTCATTTTAAGGATATTTGTACATTATATTCTGAAAAAAACAACAACCCCAGATTAAGAATTTTTTAGCTATTGTTTTTTTGTCAGACAACATATTTATGTGGCCATAAATTCTTATGTAATAAACACTTTTTTGTACTATTGTTTTTTAATTTGTCAAAACTCTATGTCTGTCTGTCTGTGTCTAAGTTGACTTCATTATATTGTCTTCAAGATATTTCAAAAATGCTTTAAAGAAGCCACAAAGCTGGAGAAAATTTTAAATCAAAGAACAGACATATAAATAACAGACAGAAATGCTCTGCTGCTCTTTTTCAAGCGTTCCTTTAGTAGAACATCTCACTGCAGTGTGTATCTGACATTCTTATCCAAGAGCTCTGCAGTCAGTGTGTGTGAATATTAGCCATCTTTCATCTTTTCCCTTAAAAAATAATGAATGCTCATAAATAAATAAATAAAGCACGGTTAATGGCCAGCTGTAGGCTGGCATCTATTCCCCTGTGACTTGTTATGAGCTGTGGAGTCTTCCTCTTCCTCACGCCTCACTCCACCCAGCTCTGAGCTGACCGAGCAGCTGATATTCTCCCACTCATTATGACCACACCAAAAACACTTCCTGTTATGTAACCAGCACTGTGTACCTCCAAGACACAGATATGGAACATCTCCAGTTTCATTCTAATATGAAGCAAAATATCATGGAGAACCCTGTGGTGATGCCCTGGCATAGTAATGCTATCAGCTGTTAATTTAAAAGAATACCACGGTACTTATATATGGCAATCTATCTATCTATCTATCTATCTATCTATCTATCTATCTATCTATCTATCTATCTATCTATCTATCTATCTGTCTAATTTTTTGTATATAATTAGTGAAACTCTAGATTGAAAAACACCAGAATTCGTGACTATACTATATAATTAATTAATTAACTAATAAATCAAGTTATAGTGGCATTTCTTTCACTGAGACATTGCCAATATTTTTGTCTTAAGCAAATTTTACTGTGGTAGTGCACCAAAGTAACTGTTGGAAATCGTGTTCTTCAGTTCTAAAATTTCCATTAAAGTCGAACGAACCCTTTAAAGGGGTCATATGATGCGATTTCAAGTTTTCCTTTCTCTTTGGAGTGCTACAAGCTGTTCGTGAAAAGATAAGATCCCTAAAGTCTCAAACCTAAAGAGATATTCTTTATAAAAGTTAAGACTCGTCCACGCCCTCCTAAAACACCTAATTTAAACACGCCCCCACATGTCTACATCACTCAGACCGATGAGCTTTGTAAAAATCGACGCGTTTCAAAAAGGCGGGGCATAGAGGAGAAACAATAATGTACAGTATGTGGAAAATAATGTGTTTTTTTAACCTTAAACTGCATAAACACATTGCATTACACCAAATACAGAAAATAATGTTATTTTTAGCCACATCATGTGACCCCTTTAAAGAACACGGACCTTCAGAGTTGCCGTCATGAAATATTCAGAGTGTGAGCAGATGTAAAGTTCTCCACAGATCTTGGCACACTGTTAACAACCTCTCAGAATAGCTGCTTGATTCAGTTGGTTTGAATGACTGTCTTCTCCTGAAGCAAATGATCATGGATGTGAGAAGCGTAAAGGGCAGCCAGACTCGAGAGTCTATTTGTCCACACAATCTAGTGGGATCTTTTGCTAAAGGCACTCTGGGAGTTAATGAACCACTGTTGTGTTTTGGAAAAAACAGACTCAGCTCTAAAACTGATACACCAAGGTGGTCTTGCCAGAAGATACAGCTTGGTCTCAGGCAACATTTAGGAGCTAATGATTGGAGAGGAAATAGTATCACCTTTGCTCACAACCTTGCTTTTAAAGATTTATCACTTTCTCTCAATAAAACCTACAGAGAGTAGCAAAACTGTCTGTTCTCTCTATATATACCCCTACAAACTGAAGGAAATGCTCACCTTTCCTTAAGAGCGCAGAGCGCAGAGCGCCTTTCTGAAGATTCCGCTCCGCTCGCTCAATATGCTCAGCGCCGCTCGCTCAACCCAGAATGCCGTTTGGTGATTTGCTTGTTCGAGATCGAGAATCTGTAGAGATCGAGAATAGTAGAGCAGTTATGGAGTTCAGATATTGTTTCAACGAAGTTGCAAGCCTTATACATAAATTTAAAGTAAAAATCTAAGTCAAGAATGAGCAGGGAGAAGAAACTAAGAGGGAGTGCGGGGAGACTGTTAAAGTTAGTACAGATTCATATTGATTACAGAAAGCACGAAGATGTGCTACGCAAACATGTTGCAGCAAAAGGTGAGCTAGTTACATACCATAATAAATGAATAGACAGGTAGGGTAAGGTTATATTCGGTTGTACGGAGCCCCGATCATGACATGCAGACAATCACGGCCAACAAATTTAGAATAGGCTAGTTCTCTTTTATGCTAGGACTACATTATGGCCACGAATTAAGAATACATTTTTTCGTTTAGTCTAAATTATGGCCACGAATTAAGTATTCGTTCTCTTGTTTAGTCTTAGCTGCCACGAATTCATTCGTTCGTCAATTCGTTCATTCCCTTATAGTAGGCCTAAATCGTGGAACGAATTATTATATTTCGTAATAACTTATTAAAATCATTATTGCTTAAAATTAATAAATAATAATAAATTAATAAAAAAAATAATAAAACCTGCTGACGTCGTAGAAACGAATTGTTAATTCTAATTATATTCGGAGCTCCGTATAAATAATCTCAGTTAAACTGTAAGACCTAAGCTAACACACAGCTGTATATAGGCTTAAATACAGAACTACAGAGTAGATATTAGCCTACACCACTTAGGCCTATTAAAATATTATTTAAAAAAAAGCTGACCCGAACCAATAGGTAGTCCTACAGAATGTAGGCTAGATATAGGCAGCAGTAATGTATAATCTAATATAATGCACGCAAATTTGTTCTTTACAGAAGGGAGCGGGATCTGAGCGGGAATTGGTTTACGGTGAGCGTGAGTGGAATATTAACGGAGCGCTTGCTTGGGCAGTTAGAGCGACTGAGTGGTGCGCACGTCCATAGAGCGGAAAACGTGGCGGAGCGTCACACCGCTCACATGCACTGATACTCACTTGAGACCCATTTCTGTCTGCCTGTAATTTAAAATAACATGCTATTTTTGTTCTCCAGCCATCCAAGATGTAGATGAGGAGTTTGTTTCTTCATCTTCAAGAAATGTATCATAACATCACTTGCTCACCATTGGATCCTCTGCAGTGAATGGGTGCCGTCAGAATGAGAGTTCAAACAGCTGAGAAAAACATCACAATAATCCACAAGTAATCCACACGACTCCAGTCCATAACCGTCACTTCTGGCCACCGACATATTTGTTTAGAACTGCTTGTAAACAGTGCTTGAACAGACTACTCTAATCTTAAAACATCTTAATGATGGATTTGTTTCTTAAAAACAGGCAGCTTTTCACTTCAAAAGACATTAATTGATGGACTGGAGTTTTGCAAATTTTGATGACACTCATTCACTGCAGAGGATCCATTGGTGAGCAAGTGGTGTAAAGCAAAATTTCTCCAGATCTTGACATTTTAATTTTTGGGCGAACTCTTCCTTTAAGTTTTAACACTGAGCCAAGATATTGCTTTATGTGGTCGGAATTTGACCCATAATGGCGGACTCTCGTCCTAACAATCACTAATGCATCCTAAAGCCCCACCAATCCATTTTCATAAGCTCTTTTAGCTCTTCTTAACTGCATTTCGATTTGGTATATAACCTAAATTAATTTATTTGATCAGGTATATTTCAGCTTTTATTTTAGTGGTTCAGTCAAAGTAAAGACTTTTTTCTGAATTGCACTGATCTCATTGGCCTGTTTGCGATTAGTATTCATGCAGTGCAGCATTCGTATTACGAGAGACATAAACCCTATGGTTTAATCTAAATTTTCTAGTCCAATAAACACACAGGCATACTGCAATCAAGATCTTTCTCTCATCAGCATTGAAGATTCATGTACACAGCTCCACCATTTTGCCAATCAATAAATTGCATCACAAGTTAGTGCAAATTAAAATTGTATTGTACATGTTTCCATGGAGTTACCTGGAGCAAGGAGCAACTCTTGCTCTTCCAACAAACACTTCAAGTTTTCCAGGAAGCCAGTAATAATTCAGTGTGATTCAGTGTCAGAGAGCCATTTACTTCAAATGAGCCCACTGTGAATTGAACACTTCATTACAGCACACAGCTAATGAAAGTCAAAGAGAGGTGCAAGTGTATGACAAGTGTAGTGGGGTGAGGTCACTGTAAAGTCCTCACTGAATAATTTAGGATAATTATTAATTATAAAGCTTAAAATCATTTATATAATTATAATTTAGATTTTATGAAGAAGATAAGTGGTGTTTGTCAATTCAAAACTCGCCACCATGATGCCAGGTTGTTGTTAGGTGTTCCTAACATGTTCTGAATGGTTTTTAATGTGTTGCTAGGCAGTTGCTTGGGTGTTTTGGGTGGTTGCTCACTGGCCCAATTCCTTGGATCCCTTCTTCAATGTAAGTTCTTTGCCATTTTATTTAACAACAAAAGTCTTGAATAAAATTCCCCAGGTTAAAATTGTAAGTCTGGTCGATTTGAAAAGTAATAGCATGTCTGTCACATGCAACTCTGAGGTCATTTTCACTACAATCGGTAACTGAGACACAAGATGGTTCCACTTGCATTTGAGTGAAATGAGAAGAAAGACGAGAACAGTAAATATTAGGAAATATCTGGTCACTGAATGCCATGATTGACTAA